AAGTTGAAGCAATATTGAATTATAAATTACCAGAGACTATCTATGATATGCGAACTTTCTTGGTTTTTAATCTTAGTTTTTTCTTAGTTTTTCTTAATTTTTAGGAATGCTTAATTTTTATCGACCGTTTCTGAAAGATGCTGCTAAGACACAAGCAATATTTCATGAATACCTAAAGGGTGCTAAGAAAAAAGATAGAAGAAAAATTAAATGGTCAGATGAAGCTATACTTAATTTTGAAAAATATAAATAGGATTTGGCAAACGTAGCTCTTTTAAATATCCCAATTCAGATTTGCCCTTGTCACTATGCACAGATGCATCTGATTGGGCTATGGGTGCAGTTCTCCAACAGTTTGAAAATGGAGCAGTGAAACCTTTAGCGTTTTATTCAAAAAAAAAAAAATTAAATAGCACTCAGAAAAATTACAGTACTTATGACCGTGAGTTACTGGGAATATATCTTGCAATTAAACATTTTAAACATATGTTAGAAGGTCGCGATTTCAAAATTTTTACGTATCCTAAACTAGTTTATGCTTTCAGACAAAAGAGCGAAAAGGCATCACCAAGACAAATGTGCCAATTGCAATACATATCTAAATTTTCTACTAACATATGCCATATTAGTGGAAGGGAAAACATTGTCGCAGATCAGTTATCAAGAATAGCCAATGTCTCTTTTTCACTCATTGATTATGATAAAATTCGCGACAAACAAGTTAATGATAAAGAACTACAAGATTTACAAGCTCAAAATAAAACGTTAAATTTCAAAAGTTATTTACTTCCATCTGGTAAAAATCTGTGGTATGATACCTCTTCTTCTAACATTAGACCATTTATACCCGAGCAGTTTAGAAAGGATATATTTCAACAAATCCATGGCCTCGCTCATCCAGGAATCAAATCGACGATTAAAGAAATGACGTCCAAATTTATTTGGCCAAATATCAAAAAGGATATACAGACATGACCTGTATTGGTTGTCAAAAAAATAAGGTTTCACGTCATACAAAGTCTGAATTAGGAACTTATCAGCAGCCTGATGAATGTTTTACTATAGTTCACATTGACTTAATAGGTCCTTATTCACCATCTGATAATTTTGTGTATTGCTTGACTTGCATTGATCGTTATACTGGTTGTATGGAAGCCATTCCTTTGTGTGACATAACAGCAGAAACCATTGCCAGAGTGTTTTATGAAAACTGGATCACTCATTTTGGAGTTCCATATTAAGTTATTATGGATTGTGGAGCACAGTTTACTTCTGAACTATTTTGAACCTTGGCAGTCATGTGTGGAGCCAAAATTCAACACAGAACTTCCTATCATCCACAGTGTAACGGCAAAATTGAGAGATTTCATCAAACTTTGAAAGCTGGTATTAAATGTCATAATTCCATTAAGTGATCTGAATTCATTCCAACATTTGTTCTAGGTCTTAGGGAAGCCTTAAAAGAAGACTCTGGATATACCATTGCAAAAATGGTTTATGGAAAAATATTCAAACTTCCTGGAGAATTTTTTGATAAACCGATGGTTTCTATAACACCTCAAACGTTTTTTCATAAATTGCAAATACAAATGAAGTTGTTCAAGCCCTCTGTGGTACAGCGAAAAATGATTCCTAAAGTTTTTGTCCATAAAGATATGAATGTGTGTACTCATGTGTTCTTAAGAACTAATAGAGTCAAGAAACCATTAGAACCCAGTTATGAAGGACCCTTCAAAGTACTTAATCTTCAAAAAATTGTGATTTCGGATTTTTGCATTTTCAAATTCTCTTCACTTTTATCTTTCTCAAAATACCATTCTTTAATCTCTATGAAAATTAGAACTGTAAAAAAAATCTAGTTTTAATATGTCATCTACTGCTTTGATCAATGAGGATTTTTACATAAAAACGCGTTTTTCTCCAAACGTGATTTTTTTTATACTCGATATACCTTTTCTCAGGAACTACTGCTCACAGGTATCTAAACTTTTTATGGCTTATTTATTAGGTTCCCTAATATTTACTGAAATGAGCTTTTTGTAATAAACTTAAAAAAAAAAAAAAAATTAAATTTTTTTGTGTGAGAAAAGTGCTAAATTTTACTATGCCTAACAAAATATTCTGTAATTTACTCTAAAATTCAAAATATTTCAAAAGCTCAATTCAGTATAATCAGATAGGTATACTTTAATTATAGAGAAAATTTCAAGCTTGTATCTACAGCAGATTTTGAGAAAAGGTACATCAAAAAATGGTCAATTTTCTGATACCCCTTAAAAGAAAGAGAAAATATTTCTTGTTACAAATCAAAGGTAAGGAAGTAAACATTTTGATTGACAGGCTGAAGCCAGCCTATTGTTTAATACAGTCAAAAGTCGTTAATCCGGACTCGTCGGGACTTCGGCGATTCCGGATTATCGATTTTTCCGCTTTATAGATCATCAGTTTAAATCTCGTAAGATGGCATGCAGAAATTCTAAAATTAAAAATATGAAACCATAATTTATGAAATAAAAAACAATTATGATCTAAAGGGTATCAAAATTTACAAAAAAAAAAAGCTTAATATTTATTTGTTTACTTTATTAAACATTTCTTTCACTGTAAGTTGCTTAAGTTGCTTCGTTTTATGTGATAATACTTTCTTTTAAATTCTATAAACAGACATAATTTCTTGTTCAGTTACAAAGTTTCGCTGTTCAGGTCCCGTTAATTGCTGTGCCGAGAATACCGACTAACTTGTCAATCGAAATTTTTTCGTTTTCACTAACCTCTCTGTCACATTCTTCATGTCTTTATCCATTTTTTTTGCAGAAATTCCACTTTTGTTTGTTGGACATCGAAACATACTTTCGTTTTGTAGATCCTTTGGAAGTTCCAGCATCGGAAATTCTATTTTGACATAATCGAAAGTTCAAGTTTACTTTTATAAAATTGCTCTTACAGTCTGCAAAAAATAATAAGCGGGTTCCAATTCGAAGATTAAGGAACAACGCAATCATTAACATTAACTGAAATAGATAATTAGATAATTCCGTTATACATTAAACGTGCAGGCGAAAATGTATTCTGCATATGCGCAGTAGTCAAGGTCTTACGCGCACACGTAAAACGCATGTGCCAATGCGGCGCATGCGCAGAAAGTTTTTAGCTTTGAGGTCCGGATTCATTCCGTATTATGGGTGTCTGAATTAACGACTTTTGACTGTATCAGGTGAGCAAAGGCTGGAACCAGAAACTCCTGATACCCAGCCCAAGACACAGACTCTGTTAAAATTTGAGACCAATAATGAATGACCTCTATTCTCACGAAATGGATGACTAATAAAACGTCCTTTATGTTTTAGTAACAATGTTGGATATTTTTCCTAACCTCTATTATTGAATATGTTTAATTATAATTGCATTTATTTATTGGATTTAGTATTTTTAATTCTAATGTCAGCTTACGCTACATTACTCCACTACCAGAATCTCTTAAATCGTAATGCAGTTATTGGAGGGGGAGTAATGTAGTGGAACATAATTTAATGTTTTTATATAATTATTAAAACTTCCTAAGTGGCAACATGATGTAATGTTTTGAATAGTTATTAAGATTCGCTGTGTGGCAACAACGAGTTGAGCTAAAAATGTTCTTACTTGGAGTGTTCCGTTGTGTAAGAGCTAGGCAAACATACAAGGTAACTAAAACAAAAACCAAATGATATGAATAAAACTAGGTGTTACTTATAAAGTTAACATAGCAAATTAAACCTTTAAAAAGGGGGGAAGGAAAGAAAGGAAAATAAAACCCATCATTTCTATTTCAACAGAATTAATCCCTGTTACATAATAACTTTCAATACAGCAACTACAGGACTTGAACAGTGGAACTTTGTAGCTGAACAAAAAATGTGTGTCTGATTATAGAATTGAAGAGAAAGTATTAGCAAAAAAAAAAAAAAAAAAAAACAAAGCAACTTACATTATAAGAATTGTGTTTTTTTTTTTTTTTTTCATTTTGATACTCTTTATATCATAAATGCTTCACTATTTCATAAATCATGATTTCATATTTTTAATTATATAATTTCTACGCACCATCTAACTAGATTTAAATTGTGATCTAATATCCGGAAAAATACCAAATCCATAATCACCCAAGTCCTGGCGAGTCCGGATCTCAGACTTTGTACTGTATTATAATTTTGGCAAATTGTATCTGAGTGTCTTTTGCTCATAGAATATAATAGCTGAAAAAATTTTCTCTAGTGCATCTTCCAAGAATATAAATAGGTTAAATGTGCTCATTTAACCTACTGCTTCCTCATTTACTGATATTTCAATGGATAGGCTGAAATTCAATATATGAACTGAATCTAAATCTATCAGAAAACCTACTGTTATTGGCTGTGGCTTTTATACTCTCTGCATCTGTTTATATAATTTTTCTGACGTGGGCTTTAATCAGAAATAAAAAGATATAGAGGCACTTGGTAAAGGATTATAAATGAGAAGGTTTTTAATATTTTGCCAAATAAATCCTGAACAGTGAGAATTAAGACATATAACTGAAATTTACATATTTGTTGGTCAGATGTCATGTATGATTTAATAATGAAATAAAATGGAGGATAGCATTAAAAAATTAAGTAAAGAATCTAAATTTATTTGTGATGCATTTCTTAAGCATCACGAATTTTTCTAGTTTTTTATGTTATTAATTTTCTGAGCTGTATCTTAATTTTAGCAATTTATTAAGGCTGAAATACTGTTACCATAAACGAAAAGCTCAGTATAATGCAGAGTCCCATTTTCTGATTAAAGTTTGAATATGATTTTATTAATATGTCTTTAAAAAAAAGTAATTACCCCTTTCTCACCCTGTATCTGTCCTTTGACTTTTTTTTTCTTACAATGTGCTAATTTAATTGAAATTGTTGTTAGTTAATTAGTTAATTTTTAGTTTTAAAACATGTAATTAAATTTAATATCTGAAAGATTTTGTCTTTTCTTAGGTCAGAGGTAAAGATCGAGTAGGAGCAAAAATGGATTCTATGGAATTAGAAAGACAAAGAGGAATCACCATACAATCAGCTGCAACTTATGTACAATGGAAAGGTTTTAATATAAATATTATAGACACTCCTGGCCATGTTGACTTTACTGTTGAAGTAGAACGTGCCTTAAGAGTCTTAGATGGTGCAGTTCTTGTATTATGTAGTGTTGGAGGTGTACAGTCTCAAACAATGACTGTTACTCGTCAAATGACACGTTACAGTGTACCATGTGTCGCATTTATCAATAAACTAGACAGAATGGGTGCTGATCCTATGAGAGTTGTTTCACAGATGAGGTAGTTGTTATTTTTATAATTATTATTCTCTATTTGTATTGAAGATTTAAATTAACTCAGATAATAGAAATATTTCACACACACACACCCCCAAAAAAAGAAGGCCGGGAAGAAACAAAAAGAAAAAAGTGTGAAAGAAAAAGTGAAAGAACTTTTTTATTTTAGATTTAGATTTATATTATTATCAGTTTTTATTTGTTGAAATATCTGAGATTATTTTTAAATAATGGAAAATTATTTTTAAATTTATTGTGATGAAATCAATGAAAGAACTGCCGTTTGTTAAACTTATTTACACCGCTTATAAAACTCAAATTAGCAAAAGACTGATATTCTATTTAAAGCGGTTTGTTCTGTTTAATTTACTGTGGTTTATTTATCACTCAGGTATCTTTAATGAAACAGGGTTTACTGAAAATTTTCCACCCCCCCCCAGTCCCTTACCTGTGAGACACTTGTGTTTAAAGCTCTTTTTTTCTACTCAGAGCTCAGACGGCAGAATTTTCTTGCCTTTTAACATAAATAATCCTCTACAGGCATAGTAAATGAGTAAGCATTTCTTCTCGAATACAACTGATAGGAAGTGGAAATGCAACCTCTGCATAACTTTTAAGGTTTCAACATTCAAAACTCTCTCTTTAGAATACATATTATATTTACGGAGAGTTCTAGAAAGAAGTTCATGAAATGCTTTGTAGCATTATCATGCATTAATGAATGGAATGGGAGTAGTAACTGAAGGCTGATGGAAAAACAAAGCATTGGTCATGCATGCAATAAGGAAGCAGCAGACTGAATTAACAAACAAAGTGCAAACTTTCTACTGGTTAGAAATGTATTTTATAAGTTACTTGAAGATTATAATTAGAATGTTATTAAATAAGTTACTTGAAGAAGCATTTTTTTTTTTTAATTTGTTGGACACTTAGTTTGTAATATTTCGAAAATGCCTAAACAATAAATTGTTCAAAGATCTTGATGTTCTTGGTAAATGCATCCAGACAAAAACAGCATTTAAGCTGGGAATATTCCAGATAGCATTTTGCAGTTTACTTAAACAAAGAATTATAGCTGAGGAAGAGCTAATGAAAAATAAAAATGCCTCGGCGATACACAAAAGAAAAATGAAAGAAAAGAAATATTGAAAGCCACTGAAGGTATTTTTCTATAATGGTTTGAAGATATGAAACTATAAAATTATAGCAGTCATTTCATTATAAAAGCTGTGGAATTTTCTGAAATATCAGGAGAGAATTTTGTAAACTGATGGATGGCTCGCAAGTTGAAAAGAAAAAAAAAAATAACATTTTTCATCAGAAATTGCATAGTGAGAAGAAAGAGGCAGATCATCATACAGATAACTATATAAATGACATTTTACTTGGGATGCTAAATGAATGCAAGCCACCATGACATTCATAATGCAGATTAAACTAGACTTTATTTAAGAACATTAACAGAATGCACATTAATGTTTAAAAGTGAAGAGCAGGTGACTGAAGGAACAAGTTGACTGTATATTGATTGGTAGCATAGATCTATCAGTTAAGAAGACAGCACATAACTGTAAAAGCGAGAAAACCTTTATGTTTGAAAGAAATCAAGAATTTACTTCTAACTTATCATAGCAACAATAACTTATGGATGATAAGTACTATTTTTAGTGCTTATGTATTATCCTGTTGGCAAGCAATACAAGTTAACACCAGCTACGGATAAGACATGACATTCCCAACATCTGCACTTTCGTATGATGCAACACTGATTGATTTTTGATAAGCTGTGTCTTGTTTTTATGAACAAGGATATAAATTAAATGTTATTGATATATTTTTCCCTTGCATTTTGAAAAAAAAAAAATGAATAAAATTTGGGAAGAAGTAAAAAAGGTAAAGTAATAGACACAATATCGTCAACTGAATATCGGTGACAAAGTAATAATAGACTGGAAAATTTACCTGTGGAAAGTTTGTACTTGTAGTGTTCATGACAATCAGGGAACCTAACAAAATAGTAAAAATCAACAAAAATCTTTTTATGAAGTGCAAAAATAAAGTAGGTCAAATACTGATTATTTATTAAAAAGGGATCAGTTCATTCAGCATTATGCCAGAGCGATTGGTGCAATCTCTGTTAACTTTCGAGGTTTGATGGTAGCTAATTTTTCCAGTCGACAGATAATACATAAATAACATATGTTTACTTTTTTTTCTTTTGAAATGGGGTGAGATATTGATAAATGAAAAAATAAATTTACTATTTAGGTAACTGTGCAACACACATACCTCTGATCTCTATCTAAAAAACACTAGTGTCTTTTCCTACAAAGATAACTTCTGACAGGTTTATTATAAAAGCTGTCAAATTTCATTATCGAAAGGATGTTCAGAATGATAAACAAAATTGAATCATGGGAAAATGCTAGCTTTTTAAGGCGATACGTAGTGATATCTCCACAAAGGCTATGCATATTATAGTCAATGCAGGGAGTCAATCTCCTAAAATTCAGTTAAAACAGTACTTCGTATTTGTGTAGAAGAAGCCTTGGAGGATAAGCAAAATACAGCTAATGTTTCAGACACCAGTGAGGGAAGTTATGAAGATTCTTTTTTAGAATGTGTGTCAATTGAGGACAATATTGAGAAAGCAAATGCAAGAACTGGTCATGTTATTATAGAAAGTGTTAAAAAAACTACAGAAACTCCTAGTGAAAGTGATACAAAAGGAAAGTGATGACATGCCAACATCAATCAAATCTAGAAAACACTGCAAATTCTAGAAAAATGCTAAAGATGCTGATCAAGAAAGCTATCCAGTAGTTTTGCAAAATTGAGAATACAATTTTAAAAACTGTTGATGAACAATATGAAACAAACATGGATAGTGTCGTTTCATATTTTTCATCAACAAATGTAAAAAAAATTTCATCCAGTATTTAAATATAATTTTTTAAATTAAAAAATAAATTGCATAAATAACTTAATTTTAGCATTAATTTTTTAATTGTCATTTTAGGATTAATAAAATCAGTTGTTAATTATTTTTTAACTAGGTAAGTTTCAAACTGATGCCACTATCTGCAGTACACAAATCACTGTCTATTGAACTCAACTACTTAATAAACTCAAACATACTTGGAACAGAAGTGATTTCAATAAGTGGCGGGTAGCCTATCGATTTTTTTTTTGGTACTTTTTTAAGTTTAACTATAATGATTTCTTTTTACATGCAGTCTTTTATTAAAGAATAACTAATCTATCAATTATCTGTAGTTCAGGTTTGCTTCAGTTATCAGATTTATAAAACAATTTCATCAGTTTTCTAACTATATCACTTTTTTAAAGTTTAATGCCTCCAAATAACTTCTATTTCTAAAGAATTAAGAAACACAAAAAACAAACAGCTATCGTTGCTTATTAATAAGTATTCAGCATAAGTGGAATATCTGCTAAAGACAAAATGTTCTCTTTTGCGGCCAGATACATCAATATTTTACAAGCAGATAACATTGATATTCCCAAACAAGGAAAGTAAAATATCAATTTTTTATAAACAAATACCAACAATTTCCCCTTTATTTAGACCCTTAAAAGACTTAATTTTTTACAGTCAGTTATGTCCATATTTTTAGAATTTACCTTTCAGTTTTATAGCAGATATATACTTTTAAAAATGTTTGCTTCTTGATTTCGAGAACACACATGCGAACACATTTCGAGAACACTTCTTGATTTCGAGGAATGATCTGCTTCAATTCATATTCATATTTTACCAAGAAGTATTTTTGGTTAATGTGCCTTGAGCCACTGCTTTGTTTTGGATTTTTAATCCAATCTTTTAATGTTTGATAGTCAAGTTTTAATTCCCACAGGTTTATCAATTATATCATCTTTCTTAATTCTTCAAGTAAATTTGAATTTACATGCACATTCGCAGAATTCCAAAACTTCAGCTTCAGCTTCCAGACAGAGTGGCTGACTATTCTTTGTTTATTGCATTACCAAGTTATAAAATGTTTGTTTAATTTTATAAAATGACATCCAAATGATTTTTCATGTTCAGTGGTGCATAGCTCGCATCTGAACTCGCATTTAATTTTCCATTTTCTGAATGTATATGAAACATGCACTTTGTATTCCTTTAATACATCTAAGTAGTCTCTTCACTACTTTCCAGTGTTTCTGTCTGAGATCTGTGTTTTACCTTGGTAAATTACTAACAGAGAAAATTAAGTCTAGCCTTATTGCTAAGTGAATCAGTAAACCTATTGTTTCTTCTTATTCTGTTTTTGATACTGGTAGAAAAAATGCTATATCATCAAGATTTTCACTTGATATTCCTACACATTAACAGGTTTAGATTCATTTTAAAATTTTTCAAAATTTTAATTTTGTTGACATAGAATAAATTTTTCAGATTCTTGTTTGATGTCAGTTCCCCAAAATTTGTGTATTTCGGAGACTTCTCATTAGGTGAATGATTCAGAAAATTGAGATATGATATCAGCTACATATACTATGATTAAAATATTAGAATTTATCATTAATATAAATACAACATGGATCTGATTTTTATCTTTTAAGATTCTTTTTCCTAATTCATAACATATTAAATATAATTCTTCATATCAGTATCGTTTTGACTGTGGTAATCTATATGTATTTTTCATATATATTTTTGTTCATAAGATATATTTTGTTGGTATCTGAAATAAATCCAGGTGGTTGTTTCATATAAATTCTATATCAGAAATTTTATTTTATAGTTTATGTAAACTGCACTCAATTGCAGAGTTCTGAAGGTTGCAATTCTCATTACTGGCATAGCTCCATCTTTATTATCCTTTCCTTTGGTTAAATATGATTCCTACTATCCTGCTTTGTAAATTGTTTCAAATTACACTGTTCTTTCTTTTTAATAAATGACCAATGGTTTTTAATAACATTTATCTATACTTTGTTCAACTAACTCCTATATATCTATAGAACTCAGTTCCTTTATCACTGCATGCAGCAAAAACTGACTTTCTCAGATTCCACTTTATCATATGCCTTAGGTAATTCTTTATTCATGTATTGAATAAATACTACATAATCTTTTAATTTTTCATGTATTGAATAAATACTACATTATCTTTTAATTTTTCTGGTGCCTTTATGGCTGTCACTAGTCTGTTCTCTGCAATATTTTATGAATATCATTTCCAGATTCTTCAGTTAGTTAAGGGGACTCAAAAGGCAAATATGAAAACAAATTTAAAAGAATTCACAATGACAATGGGAAATTCATAACTAAAAGTATGAAGGACTAAACTTGATTAACTTTTAATGTTATTGGTGCTTCCAATGATTTATTTTTGTCGTGTTCATCATCTGGGTTTGATGGAGAGATTTCCTCAGGTTCTTAATTTGTTATATCATTATATGTATTGTCATTTCTGTGATCCTTATTGGTTATTCCTAAATTTTTTTCAGAATTGTTGTTTTGTTCCTTGTAGAAAATAATAAATGCTTCTAATATTTTGTTTTTATTAAGCTTCAGGTCATTTCTCTTCAGTAAAGTTGATCTGAGCTTCTGCTCATTAAATTTTACATCTGTCACTTTTTGAATTTAATTTAAATCAGAAATATAAATTTTCTATGTTCTTCTTTTCATGCTGTAGTTTACCATTATTCCTTTTTGTGCTTTTAAATCCATCTTTTCACATTTTTCTTGTTTTATACGAGCATATGCTTCACATCCAAAATAGGTAATGTTAGACTTATGTCTTAGGCTTTAACTTTTGTCCTTTATGTTATTTCTGTTGTTTACATGAAGAGCTAGTTTAGCACTTTCACTCCAAAATTTTATTGGTAATTCTGCATCTAGTATAGTTCTAACAGTTTTAATAATAGTATGATTAAAGAGTTCAGCTTCTCCAGTGCTTTTCAGAGTGTAAGATGTAAATTTGTGTTTAATTTCTATTTTTTCAAAAAATTCCTTCATTCTTTTAGTTAAGAATTTCCAATTATCATTGTGAATTCTTTTTGTTTCCCCTGTTTGCCCCCCTTTTTAATGAAAGCTTCATCATTAAAATTCTGCACTTTCACTCTTTTTCTCAATTTTAATTACTAACAGGAACTTACTGTAATCATCTACCACTGTTAGAAAATAATAATATCTATCTATTGACTTCTCTGTTAGTACACCTAAATATGTGTGCTATTATTCTAAAATACCTTCAAATTGTTTGAACACTTGCATAAGAATTTTGTGCCATTTTTCCTAATCTTTACAAAGGCTTTCAAAATTTAAAAATTTTTTAATCTAATCAGAAAAACGTTTTTCTTCATTTTTATTAATCTTTGATAAATTAGATGACCTACTCTCTGGTATCCTAGTTCATCATTAACATTACTAATTTTAGCTTCTTCTTCTATTGTATTTTTTTCAACGTCAAAATTATTTCCACTTCTCTTAGCTATATATAGAATGTCCCCATGTTAACTGATTACTTCAGCTTTAGTTTTGTAAAAATTACTTTTAAATCATGATATCTGTTTTGGATACTGACAGTAAATTTTTGTTTAAATTCAGTACTTGCATAATATTTTCTAGTCTCAAAATACTCTTATTTCTATCAGTTACATTTTAATATCATCAGTATCAATGAATTGCTCACTCTTATTTTTATCAGTTATATTTTAATGTCATCAGTATCAATTGAATTTCTCATAATTGCTTTTTCTGTTGTCATTATTTGTCATTTTTCATCTTTAACAGTGGTAAATATTTCTTTACCTTTTACCATGTGAGATGTGAATCTATTATCCATTTATTTCCTATTTTATTTTTTTAATTTTTATTATTGTCTTGATCCTTTGTTTCATTCTCTGCATCATTTCTATCTTGATTAAAAGACAAAGTTCGTATTTTTTTAACATTATTAAAATATTTTATATTATTATGACATTTGTTTGATAAATGTCACATAATTAAAATATCTTCTTTCATGGTTATTCAATTTTATCCAGTTTTCATTTTCTTTACAACCTGCTTCTATTTCTTCTTTTTCTTTTGTCTCAGTTCATTTACTTTTTTCTAACTTTCTAACTGCAACTGTTGTTTTTAATGATTTTAACATCAGACTCAAATTTGTTTCGAAGTCTTTCTAATTAATATGAAATAAAGTAATTCTTTATCTTTTATTTCATTCCCCACTTGAATTCTTTTTACTTTTTAAAACTTCAACGATATTCATTTAATCATTTACAGATTTATCCTACTTCATTCTCATTTGAGCTAGTTCTATTCTATACTTGATTTGAATATCTTCTTGTTTTTGCAGACATTTTTATTTTCTTCTATAATTTCTTTGTATTCGTTTCACTGGCATATTTAATGCTTTGGGAAACTGATTCACTTTCATAATTATCATCTTCACTTATAATCATAATTATCATCTAATTGACTTCAGTGGTTCATCTGCTTTTATGATATACTGCAGTGCTACAGCTGGAAGTTTTATGCAATTGGTGGATGTTACTACTTGAAGAGAATATGCAAATCAACTTCTGTCATTATTTGACAGTTGATAATTCATGTTCTCATATTGTATACAGCCTTTGTTGCAGAAAAAATTTTGATCATGTACTGTAAAGAGAAAAGTTTAGTTATGTGTTAGTCATTTATGATATATTATGATGTATGTTTGATAAGACTGCTTCTATGGGCTTCATGTTAACATTTGTTTAAAAAAAAAAACTTTTTTGAACTTTTTATGTTTGCAATGGGAGTCAGGATGCAAAGATTAAGTTTCCAAAGTAGGAAAAGTGAAAAACCAATTATACCTTTATTACTGGAAATGAAATAAGTAGTCTAAATCTACCAACTATAAGTACATGCATCATAAGTGTGTGAATGGCAAGAATAATGTAATCTCTTGTATTTCTTCCATCAACTTAAAAGGCAACTAAGGAAATAGGAAACCTAGCCAGTCAAGATGAAATGATGATGAATTATCATCCTCCTGTTTTTGTTCATCACCACCACTATAAAACAGTTCCCCCCCCCAAAAAAAAAACCGTTTTGTGTCATCATTAGAAATCAAACTACAAGTAGTTTGCATTGATGGAATATCTTAATTCCATACAAGAGTCTTAATGCATTGGATGTTTGCAACATTATACATTTTTGAAAAATTAAATCACTAATTTTGATCTAAATATCATTGTTAATAGAGAGTACAATATTTTTTTTAAGTTGTAAAGTATTCTTTATAGCTATGTGCCAAAACCATCCTTCATTAATTATTTGAATGTATTTTTCTTTTTTTAATTGCAAAAAATAATTCAAAAGTTTAAAAAAAAACTGCATGGCAATGTGGTTTGAGCTCTGGAATATTGGTAGGTTTGTTAACTGTAGGTCGTATTTCTCTTATCCTATTCAGGTGGGTTGAAAAGATGCCGGAACCACCAATATTTCACAATTTTAATTGAAATTTCCATGCTTCTCGTTTATGTGTGAAATAAACTGGGACTTTCTTTTAGAAAGTCTTTACCAAATGCATCTTTGCCAACCTTTGGTTTTACTTAGGAACGGATCTATCATCTTTTCTTCGGTTACAAGATTATTAGCAGAGATCTGTCATTTTTTTTTTTTTTTTTTTTTTTTTTTTTTTTTTTTTTTTTCAAAGTTGACCTCTAATATAATTTTTTACTTTTAATATTTTTATTATCTTTTCTTAAAATTGCATTATTGATCGTGTTCTTAAAAATTAGCATCATATTTTATACATTTATCATTAGGTCAAAGTTACAGAAGCACTGTGCATTGCTTCAGCTCCCTATAGGATATGAAAGTGATTTTTCTGGTGTTGTAGATATTATCAAACGTAAAGCTTTATATTTTGATGGAGAGTGTGGGTAAGTTTTTTTTTTTTTTTTTTTTTTTTTTTTTAAATATTTCAGGTTTAAGATAATGTTTAAATAAAAGAAATTGGTACTTAGGTATTAAGCCAACCACCATGGCACAGTCTGGTGACTTTTTATTGATGAAAAGGTAAAAATTACTTTATCTTATTTTTTTTAAAAAAAAATTCTCAAACTATCAACATTCATCATAAATTGGCAAGCATTATCAGCGTATCAAAAGAAAATGTTCTTTAAAAATTTTAAATACAAATTTTAGTTGTTAAGTAAGGATTATAAGATAAATTTAAAAGCACATTTTTTGCAAAATCCTTCATTAATTTTTTAGTACTTTTCTTCTCCCCATGTACACAGCAATCTATTTTTGCTTAAAAAAAAACATCAAATTATTGCACAAACGTAGCATTGCATGCTGGTTAACTACCAGTTGCATCGTATCATCGCTCCTTGCAATTTTATGGTAAATTATTGTATTCCAGCAAAAATTTTAATGCAATTTCTTTCACTATTTCCAAATTCCATGAAGGAAATTTCAAAATTGAGTTGACGGTAAAAAATACTGGGATTTCTATAAAAACCATTGGAATATGAAATATAACAAAATGAATGTATATGAAAATGGTGATATTGCTTGACTGAAGGATTATTATAAGATGGTTACTTGTAGAATTTTTATATGTATGATTGCTAGAGTTTGGTACATTCTGAAATTGTGGCAACTTCTGCTAAGGTGGTTGTGATAATAATACGTAAGTACCAAGAAATCTTTGTTTTGTGTAACATAACTTATGATGTATGATTATGTATTATGATGCAGAGAAACTGTAAGAGAAGCTGAACCACCTTCGTCTATGTTAGATCAGATAGAAACTTACCGACAAGAACTCATAGGTAGGTTAGTAATTTTATTAAAAAATAATTATTTTTCTTTATTGTACTGATAGTGAGAATTTGTGCATTTTGTGTAAATATTTATACTTTTTATTGCTTGCCATTTTGTAATTCAGAAGATTATGCTGTAATAGTGATACAATGTATTAATATTGAAAAATTTCCTACCATTTAAACTTTTTTCTGAATTTTTATTATATATGTAAGATATTTCGCAATATTATTGTATTTTGCATGCTTTTATTCAAAACATTTTCCTGTTGAAAATTGAAGTCTTTTCATTTGATAGAACATTTATCCAATGCTGATGACGCTATTGGAGAACTTTATCTTGAAGAAAAACCAATAAGCATTGAAGATATAGAGGTATTGATATCAGTTTTCGTACATAAAGGATTTGATGTAGCATCACAGTTATTTATTTTGCTCTTTATGATCATTTTGTAATGATGTGATAAAATAAATGTATGCTATATTGAGTTACATTTTATTAATTAGTTTTCTAAATATGATTAAGTGTATAAGTTATATTTGTAAAATAGCTGAAATTTCATTACAAATAATGTGAAGTTTGCATAAATATCTTCTTTAAGTAAGGCTATTATTTTATTGTAGCATTAGCATCAAATTATTGCAATTTGTTCTAAATGTTCTCTTAAGTTATTACAGATTGAATTCTTAATTTATTTATGGATAGATAGGTTAGATTTTAAATAGCTTTAAATATGATCTGTATATGTTTTTAATATTTACATATTCATCTTGAACTAAGAATTTTATTTTCATTTTATTGAAATAGTTAGTAATTTTTAGTTAATTTATTCTAAATTATTCTTTGTTCTCAAGAAATTATCTTACAAAATCAGTACAGTAGCTATAGTTCATGGGGGAAAGTATATTTGGCAGTTTTTAATACTTTTGTAGTGAAAACGAAACAAAATAAAAACTTCACCTTTCATCAACTCCAGATTCAGAACTCATTGTTTTATCTGAATAGATATCTAATAAGAGAGCTTGGGTTGTTTTCTGTGACTTCCACTAATTATAGTTTAGTTTTTCAATTTGTTGTCATTTTGCTAAGTATAATTTAGGCTACAATTTATGGTCACTTTGCAATATCTATTGTGTGTGCAAATTTTTATAGTCCCCCTCACCTTCCCTCAAAAAATTAATGCTGATGCTATAAGTTATATATATATATATATATAACAAATAAAAGAATAATTACATTTCTAATCAAGTAGTGTATTTAGAATAGCTTAATAAATCATTTGAAATGAATAGAAATAAAATAAAATTTCTTTTTATGAAATACTTTCAAAAGCATCTTATTTTTTATTTCCTTGTACAAAGTAAAGGAAATATTGTAGTCACAAAATATTTCGGGTATCATATTTTAATGAAAATATCCATTTTGGCTGTTTTTGCGTGACATCTGTATTAAAGAACAGAATAAAGGAATCTTTTTCCCAAAACAGATTCTAAAATGGATTCATATGAGATTTTTCTGTAACATCTGTACATACATCTTATATAATGGTAAATTTTGCATTTTTTGCTTTAAAAGTGTTTGAATTATGTTGTTCTTATGTTCCAGTTAAGGTTTTTATGCTCTTGGTTAATCTGCATGCAATAGTTGTAGAATTATCAACAATTTAAAAGTTATTTAAGTGTGATTGAGCCTATTAGAGCAGCCATACTTGTTTACATTTGAAACTTAGCAGAATAATGAAGTAAGTCAGTTTCTGCACTTTCAGTGTCTTTTTGCTGAGTAGGACCAAAAGAAAACTTTCAGTTTTGTGCATCGAAAAATCAGCCTTCCAGCTTGCTGTCCAAATTCCTTGTTTTTGTGCAGAAACTCTTTTAATCTTTAAAAAAAATAATTTTTTTAACTGTATTTATTGTACTTGGTGTTATATTTTTCAATTTTTAATGAAGATGTTTTGGGTTTATATATATTTTTGCCTTGCCGCGAAGTGAGAACTGAATTAATTGGATGAGAAATATATCTCTAATGAAATTCGAGGAAATAAGTTTGAATGAGGTGCAGCAAAAAATGTGTACAATTTAATAGGACATACAAGGAAGTCTTGTGGTGTCCACATCAAATTTTTTATATAAAGATTTTGTATTGGTCTTTCATTATTTTCATATAAGATTCTGTACATTGTATGTGTTGTTAATATGTCTTCCTTTAATGTGTACATATATATATATATATATTATATATGTGTATGTATGTATGTGTGTATGTGTACACATATATACCATATGGTACAGATACATGCATATATAGTTAAAACATATATAGATGGAGGACAAAATAATAGGAACACCTGTGAAATAATGGAAAATCTTTATTAATAGGGGATTGGACCACCCTTTGACTGAAGTACAGATTGAATGCGATGTGGGATAAATGCATAAAGGTCATGGACAATATTTAAAGGAATATTAAGCCATTCCTCTTGCAGAGCGGTCTCTAATTCCGAAGGTCGAGATGGAGGTGGAAATCGGGAACAAAGTTTGGATCCAAATATGCCCATAAATCTTCAATAATATTTAAGTCTGAAGCCTGAGGGGGCCAGGCAAAGATGCTAATTGCATCGTCATGCTCTTCAAACCATTCTTGAATACACTTAGCAGTGTGGATAGAGGAGTTGTCATCTTGAAAAAGCGGTCACTCTCCAGGGAATGCAGTCTGGACAAAAGTATGGACATAATCCCCTGGAATGCTTAGATAGTGATTGGATGTGATCCTCCCATGCAGAATAATAAGTGGCTCGAAACCACGCCAAGATATCGCACCCCATACCATAATGGCGCCACCCCCATGCTTCACATTCGGCAAGAAGGCAGTCAGGAAGAAACACTGCTTTGGGTGTTCTCCAGACATAAACACGTCTGGTCATCTGAAATGGGAAGCAATGACGATTCATCTGACCATATTACCTGTTGCCATTGCTGTGGGGGCCAGCCTTTGTGATCTCTGCACCACTGGCATCACTTAAAGCATTAGTTGCTGTCACCAAGAGTTTACACATTGCCACTCTGCCATAAATGTTCGCAGCATGAAGTTCTCTTTTGACAGTTTTTATTGAAATGAGATCCTGGAGATGACTGTTCATTTCGGATGTTATCTCGGATAACAATTGCTTGTGCTTTCGGGCTACTATACGCTTCAAGACCCGTCTATCCCTATCAGCCAGCTTTGACTTTTGGCCACTGTTGTCGCTTACCTTTTTCCGTGACGTCGTCTTACCCTTTTCCTTCCGTGTACCCCCATTCTCCACCCCCCCACAGGTTTGCTGTTTCCGTAACCAATGTTTCACTTAAACGTGCTCCAAGTATCATTCCTCTTTGGAACTCTGACAGGTCTGACATTTCAACTTCTCACAGACAGTTCGATCGAAGCATGCAATGCAGGTGAATGCTGTTGAGAGACTGATACCTTTATCTTCACGCTCACTAGGTGGCAGACTTCTGTTGCAGGTGTGAAATACATCATACTTTTTCACAGTTGTTCGCATTATTTTGTCCTCCATCTGTACATACCTATACTAAGATGCATATTATTAAACTTGAAGTATTTGTGTATAATAAAAAATGAGCTTGCAACTGTGTGTGAATCCTAACGGGTATCAGAAAGGGTCCTTTATTATGAATTTTTGTGGAGTGGAGTGCACTTCATTTAAAAGAGAAATATTGAATAAAAGCAAATTATATAATAAATCTGATAAGTTTTTAATTGAGGTCTTAAAAATATTACAAAGTAATAGCCCACTTGATTTAATGTAGAATAAATTTTGAGTTTGATGAATTCACAGTTCAGTTTAATCTAATAGGAGCCACAATTTCTTGTTTGGATAATAACGCATTTAAATGTCAGTCATTGCGTACCATTGACCAGCTGTGACATTAGAAATCTTCAATGCAGGCAAGATTTACAATCATTCATATACAAACCAGCTAATTCAATTTTCCAGCTCTAATGCCTTTCATATCTCACTCACTCTGGTTTTGATCAGATCTCTTTTATATACAGACCTTGCCATTTAAAATCTACATCATTTTCTGGGAAGAATGAGTTGCATGACCCAAGTACAAAAGGAAAGTATAAATGCAAAAACATTAAAATAACTTATTAGTTAAACTAAAACTAAATTGTCACAATATAATATATATATATATACAGTGGTGGCCAAAATTGTGGACACTTTTGGAAATTTTTATGTTTTTGAACTTTGTATGCTTATAGAAAATGTTGCGTTTCGCAAAATGCAAACTTGTATATATCATTTTAAAGAGAATTTATTACTGAATTTAATACAAAACACAAAATTCAATTATTTGCAATGCAGAAAACGTTATATGTACTTTAATATGAATAAAAAACACAGTTATGAAGTGGTTTGTAAGGTCTAGCTTTCCTGGTCGATCACTGTTCTTGTTCTGAGAACCAATCAAATGTTAGTAACTGCCAGTAGAAACTGACATCATGTTTACACTTGAAACAATTCATTATTTTGCTTTGTTCTGTAGAAGGAGGACCTGTTCTTATACTACACTCCAATTCAAGTAGGAATTTTTGTAAAAATTTTTAATATTTAGTCAAAAAGCAATGACATCAAATAAAAGAGTAGATTGGACACCTAAAAAGAGATGTAATATTATTGTGTTACGAGAAAGTGGTCTTTCCTATGCTAAAATTGCAAGACAGGTGGGTGGTTCAGTGACTACATCTGGAGTCCGAAGGTTTTGTTTACAATATCAGGAGACAAATTCAATAAAAAACAAAGAAGGAAAGGGCCAAAAAAGGTGCACCACATCTATTGATGACAGAAGAATTAAAAGACTATGTCTCCAAGATAGAAAAATGTCATCATCAGCCATCAAAAGTGATCTGAATGATGCTGGTGTTTCTGTCAGTTCAAGAACAGTCAGGAGAAGATTAACAGATGTTGGCCTGAGAGGTAGAATTCCACGAAAAAAGTCTTATCTTAATTTTAAGCAACGAAAAAAAAGACTACAGTGGGCAAAGGAACACATTAATTGGACAGATGATCAGTGGTCACAAGTTATATGGAGTGATGAAACTAAGATATCGTTATTCGGTAGTGATGGGCGAAAATATGTAAGAAGTAGAATAGGAGAAGAGCTACATCCTGACTGCATTCAAGCAACTGTCAAGAACCCAGTTAGTGTTATGTTTTTGGTCATGCATGTCAGCAGATGGTATTGGTCGCCTTCATGTCATCGATGGCACACTGAATGCCAGAAAATACATTGACACTATTCTAGAACCAAAACTTCTACGTTTCATCAAAGATCTCTTTCCCAACAATGCTTCGTTTATTTTTCAGCAGGATTTTGCTCCTTGCCACACGGTCAAAATATCGAAGGAGTGGCTTCGTACAAAGAGCATTAAATTGTTGTCATGGCCAGGAAACAGTCCTGACCTCAATCCTATCGAAAATTTGTGGCACCGTTTGAAAACTCTTGTTCGAATGAGGCGCCCATCAAATAAAAGGGAACTAATTGAGGCTATAATTTTGTTTCCTGGCATCATGTAATAACGAAAGAAGAGCAAAACTCTTGTCAGCTTAATGAAACGTCGATGTGAAGCTGTAATGAAAAATAAAGAATACCCTACTAAGTACTGATAACTCACTGCAATCATCACTGTGTAATGTATATCGATAACTATTATCGTTTAACCTATTTTTTTGTATTGCAAATAATTGAATTTTGTGTTTTGTATTGAATAGTAATAAATTGTCTTTAAAATGATATATACAAGTTTGCATTTTGTAAAACGTAACGTTTTCTATAAGCATACAAAGTTAAAAAACAAAATTTTTTTTTTTTTTTTTTTTTTTTTTTTGTGTGTGTGTGTGTGCGTGCGTGCGCTTTGAGGTATGATTATTAATTACTGTTATTGAATTTCTCACACAATAAACAACTTTTTGTCATATTTAAGGTTCTACACAAGATTTATATAATTAACCAAACTTTTATTGCAAATTCTCATTTTTGAAAAATTCTTCCTGTGGCTCATAATTTTAGGGTGCAATCAGACGTTCATGCCTGCAAAGAAAATTTACCCCAATATGCCTTGGTTCAGCACTGAAAAACAAAGGAGTGCAGCCATTATTAGATGCAATTGTCTCTTACTTGCCTAATCCATCTGAAGTGGAAAATTATGCTTTCAAAGAAACTGAGTAAGCTCCTTTTATTTCACATGAACAGTATTTTTAATGTTGTAATTCATGAGAGAATGAATTTGTACCTGAAAAATTAAGATTTAATTGATTATTTTTTCCTAATTTATTCAAAATATCATTTTATATTTTTATTTAAGTGTATTGCACTACTATAATATATTAAATAAGAATAACTTTGTACTACTTTAATGAATTAAATAAGAATGCATTTTTACTATACGTCAACTTAACAGAGTTTTTCAAAGATCAGCAATGTGGTGGAAAATGCTTTTTTTACTAATGCAAGTTTTACTTGCAGTAATTACAAATCTCCCTTTGAGCTAAAGTATGAGTTATATTGTGATATTATGTAATTTCTTTTATATTTTATTAGAAATGGAACACAAAAGCTTCTCATGGATCCATCAAGGGATGGAACTAAGCCATTTATATGTTTAGCTTTCAAGCTTGAGGTAATTTCCTTTCATCAAGATAGACTGTTAAATTTCTGTTGTAATCAAAAGTATTAAAAAAAAGTGATTCTCTAACTTCCAATATGTGTAATTATATAGATTATATATTTTTTTCCAGGGGGGGATATAAGAAATTTGAGAAAATTTATCAAATATGTTTATCAAATATGTCTTGCAATTAGATCACAGTACTGGCCATTAGAATTGATACAGTGTGGTGATGGCGATAAGGAGCGCGCCTTGCGCCCTCCGATAAGTGTGGCAACCCTAGAGGAGAAATTTCTTACGAGTAGCGAGCAGAGCGAAACAGGCAGTGTGCGCGAAGTTCCTAAATAAAGCTTAATTTTTATTGTGCACTATGTCTTGTTAATATTATATTAATGCAGTAAGAACATACGATCTGTGATATGGAATGCGAGGCATTGGTGGTAAAACATAACAGGTAACAACATGATAGGTAATCACCATAATGGTGACTTGAACTGTGCTAAATCAGGCCGTATGAACAGTTCTCAAGCACTTTCGGTTTTGACTACAAGGCCATCACTCAAGATCTCCAAACCAGAAGTAATGGATTATATCGTTTTTCATCCTCCTGAATCACAGATGAGTAGCTAATTATAGATCATTTTATAATTTCTGTTTTCTACTTATCATTTAATTTCATTTTCTTTAGTTAAATTTTTGCTTTTATTTTTGGCTTAAAAACCTTGCACAATGTCTGATGTTCATGCCGTCCAAATTCCGGTTTATAACCGAATCAGACCCATCTTTATGGTTTATTATGTGTGAAAGTACCTTTGCTCTTGCCACCCCCAAACCTATCACACAGATCCATTACTAAATATAATTATGTAGTTTCTCATCTTCCTCCAGATATCGCATCACTAGTACGGGATTTACTTATGAAACTAGATCCTATTGATCCATATGCAAAGCTTAAAACTGAGTTAATAAATCGTTCAGGAGAATCTTCTCAGCAAGAAATTCGCCAATTATTATCTGGAGAAGAATTAGGCTCTCGAAAACCTTCCGATTTGCTTAGAAATATGAAGCGTCGAGCAGAATCTTTAAATGTTCCTGATAACTTAATGTTAGAATTATTCCTTCAACGTTTGCCTTCGACTGTTCAGTCTATTTTGGCAGCGGTTTCCAATTTAACTGTAGATAAAGCTGCAGAAATTGCCGACCAGAATTTTAGAAGTAAATCCAACCCCAGGGACTTGTGCCGTTTCTCGCACAGTCGATCAGTCTCTTGAGGATAATTATTTAAACAAATAGAAAAATTAAACAAACGTATTGATCGCATTTCTCTTTTCTCGTGGTCGCTCGCCAAACCGCGGAGATCGCAATAGAGAAAGAAGCAATTCCAAAAGGAGAGATTATTCTGTTTGCTGGTATCATAGACGTTTTGGGAAAAAGTTGTAGAGATGACAAATGTACAAAACCTTGTTCATGGCAGGGAAACGAAACCAGCAAAAATAGAGGCGACTTATTCTTTGCCTCAAGTTTCACGTCGCCTGTTCGTTCGTGACCGTAGAACAAACCTTTCATTCTTGGTCGATAACCGGCTCTGACGTGTCCTTACTTCCAGCAAATAATTCTCAAAAACGGAATTCGTCCCAACAAACACTTTTCGCTGCTAATTCTTCTACTATTCATGTTTATGGTCAAAAAACACTTTCTTTGGATTTCAAATTAAGACGACAGTTTACATGGACTTTTCTTATAGCAAATGTTAGTACAAACACAACCCATTCTTGGAGCAGATTTTCTCCATTTCTTTGAATTGGTGCCTGATCTCAGAAACAAATGTCTCAAAGATTTAAAAACGCATTTTAAAACCGTCGGTTGCGTGAAAAATGCAAGCATTTATTCAGTAAAAACTGTATTTAGTGATACACCATATCACAAAATTTTAAAAGAATTTCCTTCAGTTACTAGATTACCAGATCCTAACCAACCTGTTAAACATAACACCGTTCATTATATCATAACTAAAGGTCCACCTGTGTTGCAAAACCTCGTCGGTTAGCTCCAGATCGCTTAAAAATAGCAAAACAAGAATTTCAAACTATGATGCAATTGGGGCATTTGAGACCTTCGAGCAGCAATTATGCATCCCCACTTCACATGGTTCCAAAAAAGGGAAGTCTGGAATGGAGACCTGTAGGAGATTATCGAGCATTGAACGCTCAAAACAATAAAAGACAAATACCCTATTCCATGCTTAGCCGATTTTACTGCTGCATTGCACGGTACTAAAATTTTTAGTCATGTCGACCTGATTAAGGCATACCATCAAATACCAATTAACCCAGCCGACATCCACAAAACCGCCATATGCACACCATTTTCGGTTTATTCGAAAGTACCCGTATGCAATTCGGCTTATGCAATGCATCCGCGACTTTTCAACGTTTTATAGATGAAGTCACGCGGGATTTAGAAGGTGTTTTACGCTTTTGTCGATGACTTGCTCATAGCCTCTAAGATTCTGAGGAACACTGCAGGCATTTGAAAGCTTTATTTTCCAAATTTCAGGAATATGGACTTTGCATAAATGTTTCAAAATGCACCTTTGGTCAAACGTCTATTGATTTCTTAGGTTTTCACCTTAGTGAAAACGGAATTGAACCTCTTCCTGACAAAGTCAAATGTATTTTAGATTTTTTCCTCAACCTACCACTCTCACTCACTTCGCTTCGCCGATTTTTAGGCATGTTTAACTTTTATAGATGTTTCATACCTAAAGCAGCACATATTCTTTCTCCTTTAATAAAATTGTTAGAAGGCTATATTAATAAAAAGAAATCTCGTTCGTTCTCGTGTTCAGGATTCATCCCCACAATTAAATTGGAATGAGAATGCTGAACAAGCCTTTATTGCTGCCAAAAATGCCATTGCTCAGGCTACCCTTTTGAGACAAAACCCTATTCCCGGAGCCCAGCTAAGCATCTGGGTAGATGCCTCAGACGTCGCAATCGGCGGCACACTTATGCAGTTGTCTCAACAAACATGGGAACCTATAGCATTTTTCTCTATGAAACTCAGTAAAAGTCAACAGAAATGGTCCGCGTACGATAGGGAATTATTTTCTATTTATTCTGCAATTAAGAAATTCCGACACATGTTAGAGGGCAGAAATTTTATAATTTATACGGATCAAAAACCGTTAATATACGCTTTTAAAACAGAACCCTCATAAATGTTCACCTCGACAATTGCGCCATTTAGATTTTATTTCTCAGTACTCTACTGATATTAGGCATGTGCAAGGTTCAAAAAACGTCGTTGCTGACGCTCTTTCAAGAATCGAAATTGATTCCATAACAAAATCTCCATTTTTGGATTTTAAAAAATTTTCGGAAGCTCAACGGCATGATCCGGAGGTACAAGACCTTCTCAAAAACAACACATCATCTTTGAAACTGGAATTTAAACCGTGCCAATATTCTGATGGTAATATTCTTTGTGACATATCAACAGACATTCCTCGTCCATTTGTTCCGAATTCCTTTCGCAGACTCATCTTTAATCATCTGCATAATCTGTCACATCCAGGAATTGCAGCTACTACGAAGCTTATTTGTTCTCGTTATGTATGGCCCGATATGAAACGTCATATCAAAAATTGGGTGAAATCCTGTGAATCTTGCCAAAAATCGAAAATTACTAGGCATACTAAAGCACCACTGGGCACACATTCTCTCTTCCTGATGCACGTTTTTCAGAAATCCATATGGATATCGTCGGACCGTTACCTTCCATCAGAAGGCAACGTGTACCTTTTGACTCTAATAGATAGATTCTCCAGATGGCCTGAAGCCATTCCCATCCCGGATATGAAAACGGAAACCATTTGCAGAGCCATCTTCAACTGTTGGATATCTCGTTTTGGCTGCCCATCGATCATAACAACAACAGACCAAGGTTCTCAAATGAGATCCGCACTTTTTGCAGAATTCACACGCGCATTTTGGGTACGAACAGAATCACAACAACAGCCTATCATCCAATGTCCAACGGCATTGTTGAACGATTTCATCGACATTTAAAATCTTCTCTCAAGGCTCACGAGACCAATAACTGGACTGAAACACTACCAGTTGTTATGCTTGGTATTCGGACAGCCGTAAAGGAAGATCTACAGTCATCTTGTGCTGAACTGGTGTACGGCACAACTCTCAAGCTGCCTAGTGATATGATAACGTCATCTAAGATATCTCCGTATGACACACAATTTATCACGAATCTTAGGCATAGAATGCAACAATTGAATCCAATAGCAACATCTGCACATTGCCAAGAAAAGTGTTACGTAAAGTGCTACCTTAAAGTCGTGTACGCATGTATACTTACGTGTCGATCGAGTAAAGCCCACCTCTGTGCCAACCATATACAGGTCCGCATAAAGTCCTTTCTAGAACGGACAAAACTTTCACAATTGATGTTAACGGTCTGAAATCTACTGTGTCTATAGACCGTGTGAAACCAGCCTATTTGCTTTTCGGACTCTAATTTGCCTGAACTGAAAACAAATAAAGACTTAAAGACAGTTCAGCAGAATAAATCTGCAAACGAACTCTCTAAGACACAAACTGTCACCAGATCGGGAAGACATGTTCACTTCCCTAAGAAACTTGCTTCTTACGTAACAATTTAAAAACATTTCTTTTAAAATTCATATCTTAACATATTTCTTGTTATTTCATGTTTATTATATGTGTCAATACCTTGTTATATATTGAATTGCATTTTGATCTTTTCTAATTTTATATTCTAATTTTGTAATCATGTAAAAAATACCCGACAGTACGGATCCTCTAAGATAATTTCATAACCTATGTCGTTCCTTTGAATAGTCATTAAAGGAACTGGGGGGAAACTCTGTGGTGATGGCGATAAGGAGCGCGTCTTGCGCCCTCCGATAAGTGTGGCAACCCTAGAGGAGAAATTTCTTACGAGTAGCGAGCAGAGCGAAACAGGCAGTGTGCGCG